GGGGCACGCGTGTACGCAGTGCAGGGGGCGGGGCCGAAGGGGACATCTGTCCAACTATCCGAGGCTGCGGTAGCCCACGTCCAGAATGGCTTGGGGTCTGAGCAGCTGTTTGTGCTTTTAGAGTTGCGTCGGCGGGATCCCAGCGTGTCGCAACTTGTGATTCCTCTCCTCTAGCGCATTCTGGCAGTCACCATTCTTTCATCTTGCAGCCAGTTTCTAAGAAGTGCCTGTTGAGAATTGACCTTCTTTGACCTTCATACCAAGCGTGCCCAAGGGTCAGGGTACACAGAAGATCTCTGCGCAAAATTAAATGTGACCGGAACACGAATTGATTTGTGTTAATTTTCTTAGGACTAAGAGCGTGGCAAACACTGTTCTAATCTCTTTACAAATATTAAATCCTTTATTACTAATAACAAATATTATATCCATTTCTAGATGGGGAAACTGAAGCAGAGAGGCTAAGTGAATGGACCAGGATCACACAGCCACTGCATGAACAGAGCTGAATTTCAAATGCAGACCGTCTTGGAGCCTGAGGGATGTCATATCTTCTGAACCACAAAACCCTTAAGTTTGGGCATACAGAGCATTACTGTGCCATCACACAAAGAAGCCTATATAAGATCATGCTCAGATAGAAAGGAATGCAGTGGTCAAGTACACACACGCACATGAAAATGTAAAAGAGGCCCAAAACTCAGTGAGAATATAGACGTTTTGGATATGTGTTAAAAAAAAAAAAGAAAGAAAGAAAGTCACTGCCTCTTCATTATGGAGGATATATGGCATACTGGGAGAAATAGTCTCAATGTTCATCTCATATAAAGGAGTAATTTCCCAAATTTAATTCAACTTTAAAAATTAAAGGGGTATAAAAAACCAAAATACTATTTTAAAATGGGCAAATGATAGAAAAAGTGCATAAACATATAAAATGTTTAATCTTTCTAATAAAAATGTAAATTCAAGTTGCATGAAGGTGTCATTTCTTACCATCAGATTAGACAGATTCAGAAGGTTGCAGTTCATCTCTGTCTTAATGATAGAGGCACACTTTATAATTGTTGGTGGGAATACAGAGTTACAGAATTCCTCTGAAGGGACTATGACAATGTCTGATAAAACTGCATAGACATTTATCCTTTAATGCAGAAACTCCATTTGAAATTTTGTTTCTAAAGATAACATCATCAGGCCTACATGCAAAAATCAATTGCAGTTATAAAGTACTTTATAGGAGATTGGTTTGATAAAATGTGTCAATAAATATAATGAAATACCTGAAGTTGTTAAATAAGAATTAAGAGAATGTCTATGAACTGACATGGAATAAGTCCAGGAAATGTGGAAGTGAACAGTATATGTTCACCTATGTTCAAAAAAGTACATATATAGCTTACACCTTGTGTGTGAAAAAAGAGAAAATAAAAAAAGCATGTATATATCTGCTCATCATCATAAAAAGACATACGTATAAAGTAAAAAAAAAAAAAGAGGAAATTGGTTATCTACAAGTTGGAATCAATTTAAAAGCAATTTGAAACTTAGTTATAATTTAATGAATGCCATAGCCAAACTGAAGGGGAGAGAAGCAGAAAAAACGAGTGACTGTAGAGTGTCTTCTGTCTTTGTCAGGGTAGGGAATAGTAGGGCAAGAATTTGTAATAAATACTGCCCTCTTGTTGACCGTAATGGTCTGGGTGAAAAAACTCTGAAACAACTTTTGATGTGCTGTAAGATGTAGCAAATGTGTTCATGTCATTGAAAACTACTGTTAATGTAGAAGAGATGGCCACACAGAATGTGAGCCGTATAGGGAGTGAGTGGGATTTGGAGGCATCAGTTTGAGCTCATGATTTATAAACTGCATATTCTTGGTTGTGCATATCTATGCGTATATGGGCATGTGTGTGTATAATTATATATACATTTCTACTTCCTGACTCTAGAGTCTAAAAGAATTAAGAAACAAAGACACTAGTAGCAATCTAGTGTCAAGGTTTTGTTTTCAATACCATTCAATACCAGAACTCCTGGGCAATGCCTAGGAGTGAGTCCAGGGACGGAGGGTGTCAAAAAAAAAAGTGATAAAGGACATTATTAAATCAACCAGACAAAACTGGAATAAGAGTGGCATATTGGATAAAAAATGTTACACTCGGCCCTCCCTGGTGGCGCAGCGGGTTAAAGCACAGCACTAAGAAGCTAAAGCCACTTCTGCATCAGTTCGATCCCTGCCTGCACTGGAAGAGATCCACAGGGCGCGGCAGACCTCTCCTGGCCCGCCCGCTGCTCCCCTCAGCAGTGTACTTTGTCGACCTGCCTGTTCTGCTCCCCACTCTGTCTTTGGTGAATCCTCCACCCTCCACATCTCTGGCCTGTACCCCAGTTCTATATGAATAAATAAATAAATAAATCTTTAAAAAAAATGTTACACTCAAGGGATGCTTTGAAGTTTATGATTGTTCTAAAGCTGTATAAAAATGAGCTGAAATATTTAGGGGTAAAAGATGATGATGTTTCTAACTTATGCCCATATAGTTCAAGGGAAAAATAATTGTAGGGGGAGAAGAGAACAAATGATAAAAGCAAGGGGTTAAATGTTAATGGCCTCAAAGGTGAACTTCTGAAAAAACTATCTGATGATATCACTCCCCTGGGTAAAGCCTGCAGGACCTTTTCTATTGCAAAGTAGAAAAATGTAGAGTAGAACCCAAATCCTTTATCTGGGCCAACGAGGTTGGCAAGACTCAAATCTGACAGCCTCTCTCGTGAGCCGTCACCCTCAGACCCAGCTCACAGGAGCCTCGGGTGTTCAGAGACAGCCCACTCTTCCCTGCCACTGGGGAGCGCCCCCATTCTGAGCCTCTGCTCCGGATCTATCCTGTGGGCTCCCACCGTGGCTGTCAGCCTGGCAGTGTTAGTTTGTGCGCCTCTCACTACTTGGTGCAAGGGAACTCTACTCCCGTTTCTCTCAGCACCTTTTTCAGCTATTTGTAATGATTTGTCCATTTGTCTATTTCACTCTTTTCTAGCCCAACTGTCCACTTTCCAGGGTAGGGAGGTTGTCTGTTTCTTCATCATCATTCTGTCAGGTACTAACACATTGTGGACATCCCAACAAAACGGTCGCATAAAAGTAACATGGCACACTAAAATTTGGTGACAGAAAAGTGACCTGTGGGCATGAGGGTGAGGTACATGGGGAAGCACTCTGTATGGCCACAGTGGTGGACACACAACTGCACACCTGTTCAGACCCACAGAATGCACAGAACTGAATAACCCCCAATGCGGACTGTGGACTCTGCGGGATCATGACGTGTGAATGGTGGCGGAGTTTGGCAGTGGTGCAAGCTCTGAGGGAGTGGACAGCGGTTCTGTGAGGATTCTCTGTACTTTCTGTTCAACCTTGCTGTGAACCGCTCTAACAAAAATACAAGTCTACCCCAAAGAACAAAACAAAACTGAGAAACCCTAAACCACCACAACATGGCACCATTTCAACATGGGGCACATTTACCTTCATTGCCGCTGCTGAAGAAGAGAATGTGGATTCTGGGACGGTCTGTGCTGTTGTTCAGAGGTTCAAAGTGTTTCACATAATTTCATAGTTGAGCTGCAGCCTTGTACTTTCAATGGACGTTCTTACAGGTGAGTTCTATTGTAATGCCGGTAGGGTGAAAACGATGCCCGTTTCCAACAGGAGGGGGCGCTCCGACCACGAAGGGCTGCATGGGAAGCCCCGGTCAGTCAGGAGAAACAAGAAAATACGGGTAAGAGACTTTATTGTGATTTCCTGAGGAAAGATCTGGCCAGGTAGAGTAAACAGGCTTTACATTGACTGGTTTGATGAATTTCAGCGGAACTCTAAAGGCCTAGGGGCTTTCCCTAGGTGCTGGGGTGATTAGATTGGAGACAAAATGACCAAGAAGTGTCTGGGGATCTGGGCTGTGGGTTGTCTGCTTACATTTGACACTCATTCATAGTCAGGCATTCCGGGATCTGTGAGGATTGGTGGCCTTCAGAGAGCAGTTTCTCCAGTGCCAGCCAGGATCCAAGATGTCAAAACATCAGAAGCACATGGTTAAGCACATGAATTTGCTTCCTTTACATCATACAGGGCGTGAGCAGAAAAAACAGGAAAATATTTTCATTGGTTTCCATTACTAGCTCATCCCAATGGAGTTTCGACATCTGAAAAGCAGATCTTCCACAGAGAGTACAGAAACACATCTTTAATTACTTCTAGAAACCAAAATAGCAAGAATATCATGAAAAGCACAGATCTTTTTCTCAGTTTCTTCACTGAAGGAAATGCAACAAATGTGCAGTCTTCTTCAAATCACTCCTCTTTATCTGCACACGACCTCAGTGATAGTTAAAGAGGCCTGAGATATGGGTGGGAAAAGGATCCAATACCATAATCATACACCTGGGCAGATGGAGAAGACAGGACAGAGGGCCTGGGTGAGAGCCAATCTGGTCACCTGCAGATCCAGCCAGGTTACCACTCAGGTGATGAGGTTTCTCCAGTTCCTGGGAGGTTGCAAGCAGCTGGTCACATGCAGAGTGGCATGGAGCTATCATATTATATACACAGGATCCTCGGTGAGGCATTGCTGTGGCAGAAGTCTGGGCTGAGGCAGCAATCATCCCTTCTTCTAAGCTGACTGCATTAAGTGCACACCGAGGGCTGAACAGAGGAGAGGGGTCACTCATGGGACTGAATCATTTAACAAAAACATCACACTGACTTTCTAAAGGAAAAAAGCCTTGATTCTAAGACGCGGCACTTAGTAGACAGTTTAAGGAGACTGAAGTCTCATTATGCAACACGGCTTTGGCTGTTCCTCTGCTGTCTGTGACTCTGTTGCAAAGCCAGGTCTAACCCTAAACTGCAGTGGCCAGAAGTCCAGGGTGAGAGGAGCAGCACATTCCCGAGACAGCTTCGATGAGATGATGAGACCATTCAATGGGTAATGTTCGTCTCATTGCAAGTAATCATTTGGGGGTAGGGGTTTGGGAGCAGCCTGGGGTAATGTTCATTTATTTAGGGGTGCTGGAGAACTTCAACTGAACAGAAGTTAGCACCCTGTGCTAACTGTTGCAAGTTAGTTAACAGTCACTTACCTGTTGCAAGGGGCTAATTAGTGCGGCCCAATCCTCATAGGTCACAACTATCAGGACTGCCGGTTTAATCGGAGGCTTTCCTTCTCTCTTCAGATCTATAATTCCAGGCAGCAGGGCGAGTTTGCCTCCAGATGTCCATGGGTGGAGATTCATCCACACCGAGGCCGCCAAACAGCAAGGCCCAGGAGGGAGACCGTTCATCAACTCCACAGGTGCCGAGGTGTTCGAGAGAGGGCCCAAGGACTGGTTCTAATACTGAGTGGACAACACAGAGAGACAAGGAGAAGAGGAACAAGCAGCTCCTGGCTACACCAAGGGGGGAAAAGGAGAAGATACAGGAGGAATTCAGCATGGGTGGTGCCCCTCTCCTGGGGTATGATGACTGCTCCCCAAGTGAGTGCAGGAGACCCTTCCCCACGACTGCTAGCCCAGGAAAGTGGAGTCTTTTTTGTGAATCTATTCACCAAAAGTTCAAAAGCCTTCTGTGCTTTCTGCTCTCACCTGGAGGAATTCAGTCCTGCTGCCCTGATTTCTTCTTTATTACCAAGGTAAGACTGGAATACACTGTTGAGGAGCGCACCAGTTTCCTGCGTGTGGGAGTGCTACGGAGTGTGTACCTGGCTGTCCTTACTCTTTGCCGGGTCCCCAAACAGGCTGATTTTGCTCTTTTAAAGCATCCAAGATAATTAAGATAATTAAGCACTTCCAGAATAAAATTCTGATATCTGAACAGGGGTCAAGAATTTTGTGGTGTTCCCGTAAAATACATGCTAATGTCCCCCCACCCTCAACAAACTTTACTGTTCCACTCTGTGTGAGGTATTCTGGAGTTGCTCAAATGTGAGAGGATTTCAGCTGCTTTTTTTTTTTTTTTTTTTTGGCTCACAAGTTATATGTTTTGTGGGTTAGAATAAAACTCAGACTGTCCTAAGCCTTTGTGACCATTTCTGGTACAGTCTCTCTGATAGGAAGGACCTGAATAAGCCCAGAGCTCAAAAACAACCCAAAGATGATTTCTATTTATTTCATTCAATGTCCTTCCCACCTGCAAAGGCAGGGAAAACATATACACCATCAGTTTTCCATAATTTTCTCATGGCTTGCTTATAAACACCAAAGCTATGTTACCTAGTAAGTAATGTAGAAAAGCACACAGCCAGCGTGTACTGTGTTTAATTAGCACGTATGGTTGACGTTACCATTTTTTAGGCCTATTAATGTAAATATTTACCCAGAGCCCTGTTGCCACAGTCTGTTCACTTAGAAAGTTCCCACCCTGCTTTCTGTCCTTTCTCCTGCGATGTGGAGAACGGAATAGTCTTGGGCAAAGCTCTCAGCAGTTCCTAGGCCTGGGCGTGGGCACAGCTTCCCTGTGATGGCAGGTCCTGACTCAGTACAGGCTGTGTTCCTTGTGATGGCATTCAAGAACTGTCAATAACACTCAAATATACACTGCAATTGCTACTGGTAGTCCTTGGGCTGTGCTGTGACACCCCTAAACTTACCTCATAACTGGACGTTTGTACCTTTGATCCCTTCCACTCATTTCCTCCAGCTCCCTCTCCTCACCTCTGGCTACCAGTCTACTCTGTTTCTATGAATTTGGCATTTTTAGAGTCTCCATGTAAGCAAGATAATACGGTATTTGTCTTTCTCTGTCTTTTAAATATGCTTCTTGAGCCCTCCCTGGTGGTGCAATGGGTTAGGACGCAGCACTGCAAACTAGCTGTAGCCTCCTCAGTATCAGTTCGATCCCAGCCCCGGAGGTGACCCACATGGCGTGGCAGACCGCTCCTGACTTGCCTGCTGCTTCCCTCAGCAGTGCACTTTATCGATCTGCTTACTCTGCTTCCCACTCTGTCTCTGGTGAAGCCTCTCACCGGCCCTGAGCCTCTGGCCTCTACTCCAGTCTGTGTGCATAAATAAGTAAATCTTTGCAAACAAATAAGTATGCTTCTTGAAGAGATCAGTGTATAGATAATGCTGAAAGTTTAAAGGTGGGTTCTGGGAGTGAGTGCTAGGCCAGAGGATGCCCGGTATGATTTTCTCAGGAGGTCAGGAAAGTTTCCGTCCTGAATGGCTTACCCCACACGGATGTCAAAGCCAACTTTGACCTGCGGATGGTTGAGGACATCTGAACAGCACCTGTGCTGTGCTGCCCTCCGGGTAGAAGCTGCTTGTGACCTTCGAGGCTCCACCCTCCCCCTCCTGCTTGACCAAGCCAACTGGAACCAGACCTCTACCAGTCCAAGATGCAAAAAATCAGGATGCAATGCTGTCCCTCAGAGCGACCCACTCTGCACTGAGACCTGCTTGCAGAAACGAGGGCCCATGCTGTGCTGGAGAAAGGACATCATTGCACAGCAGCCCAGGGTGTTCCTCTTCTGTCTCGTTGTTCAGCTGTTAAAATAAAAAAGGACGATATTTGCTTACAGGAGAGAACACTGGAGAAAAATGAAAGGCAGGAGAGAGAAAGCTATAATTGATTCAAGCCTCATCAGGGGATAACCTAAATTTTAAGAACAGAGAATAAACCGAGAGGCTTCTGTCCCTACCCACACAGTGGTGTGAATTCACCCAGGCAACGGTTTCCAGGACCTGCAGTCCACCAATGAGAAGCAGGCGGCCACGGCCCTGAGCACAGGCAGGTCGCAAGGGGACACAGGTGTCAGGCAGCACCAGGACAGGCTGCTGGTGCAAGGGGAGGCAACAGACCACCGGACCACCATTCCGTGTATTGTAAAGGGAACCACATGGGGCAAGTGGAAAGAAATGTCATGTTTTATGGCTGAACATTTTCACTCGTGCAGAATGACCCTCCCTCTGTTTATAATCCGCAGTGGGTCTGGCTGTTCTGTGAGGCACTGAGGACCCACTGTCTTGCGGAGGGTCACACGCGATGTCCACGCATTATTTTAATTCCTCCCCCCAGCACCACCAAGTGCTGACCCCAAGTGTCAGGTAGAGAAGCTGAGGACCTGTCGCTGAAGTGACTGGCTGCAGGCCTGGGACTCGGAGCCTCTCCACAGCCCTGTGGCCTTCAGGACATGGGATTCCTCTTTCATGGCGGGGCGGGGTCAGAACCTAAGGACGTGGCCAGCTGGCTCTTCACACCCTCAGGACCGGGTCTCCTGCTCCAGGTGGCTGAGTTGGAAGGGGCCGCACTGCCTCCGCCTTCGGACCCGCTCTGGGGCGCCCGTCCGTCCGCGCCGCTGTTCACTCACTACCTTGCTTCTAATCATCCGGCAGTGACGACGTTATGTCATGGTGACTTGTTGATTTTGAGCAGGATGTGTGGCCGGACGGGCGGGCGTTAGGTTCTGGGGGCCACTTTCCTCCTGAGGACGGGCCCTCCTTGTCCCCTGAAGCTGCTGTGAACCGGATCGCTGACCCTCTAGCTGGCTCCGACGTCACCGCAGTCTCTGCTTTGATTTGGGAACATCGTTAGCAGATTGAAGGTGGAGACAGGTTCTAGAACTGCCAGCAACCTGATTTTACCTGCATTTTTTTGTCTCCCCTGGGGAGCACCCTTCCCAGGTTTCCGGTGCGACTGTGGGTTTACTCTCTGTTTCACTGTTCCATTCTGAAGTCACTGCAATAGTGCTTCCAGAGGGTGCGCACGGGTTTGGTCATTCTCCAACTGGAAGGTTTTCTCTTCCTCCCCAGGTACAGCCTTTGTTAACTAAGAATCAAAGGAGAGTTGAATGGTTTCCCTGCCATGCTCTGGACTATCTCAGTCGAAACGTTACCTCAGCAAAGGGAGACCAAAACCCACACTCTTGCATTAAAATGGAAGCACCATCCTCAATTAACACCCGGGTGGAGACAAATCACCACCGCTAGATGGCGATGTCGAGTAATGATTCAATTCCACATTGTTTAAACTTGGCTTTTGACAGTGATTTATCTTCTTTTCAAAGAATAATTCACTCTTTATGCATTCTTACCATTCCCATTTGCACCATCTACTCCTCTCCTCATTTTCATTTGCAAACTCATTATGAAGGTATGACGGCCTTTGATTCATAACAAAGGCTCTGATGTAAAGTTCTTAAGGTTAAAGAAAATGTGAGCTACTGAGAAGTGATATTCTCTATTTTCTTTCACAATTACTTATAAGTTAAACAACCACATGGTAAAGGAATGCAAATGATGGTTTTCATAGCCAACTGAGCAATTAAAAGAAAACACAAAACAGTATTTACAAATTCAAAGATTTTTCCATTCTTTGTGATATATGTAGTGGACAGCTAAGGCTTTTGTTTGTTTTCATTGCTAAGTCTTGCATGGAAAGAATGTTGTTGGTTAATAGGAGGAATTTTGTATTTATCAGTGTAGTTTAAGTGATCAGCCTCTGGTCAGCACCCTATTAGGTCAGAACTACAGTTCCCCCAGGAGAACACAGTCTTTTCAAACAAGAGAACATTTGAAACCAACTTCATGCCAGGCCACAACTTTTTTTCAATTAATAAAAAATTCTACACTATGTATGCATGGAAGGCCTTTCTTCTCTCTTGTTCGATCAGCTCATGGTTCTTTGGGATCTGAGTCAGGTCAGCTCAATTCCCAGTAACTCCATCAGAATAAATGCTTCTCCTAAAACTAACTGAGCATTCAGATGAGATCAGATAGCAAAAATGATATAGGTAGACTCTATTAAATAGCAAATGCATTAAATGGCTACATCCAAAAACTAAATAAATGAAAATTTTAAGTTTGTACCTGCTGTAACACTTCCTTCATGAAAGAACACATTCTGGTAACAATCATTTAGTTCAGTGCCTTGAAACAGAACTCTGACTTTAATCCTTATTTAATCAAAGCATTGTAGTACCCAACTACAATATAATCTTAATCCATTTTTATATATTTATATATGTACTTATATATTTGAATAATGTAATAGTTTATTTTTGCATCATTTTGTGCATTTATCCATCTCAGTTGTACTCCTCTTGGGTTTCCCAAAACCAAACCACCCATGTGCATCGCCATAGTCAAATGCATTTCCCTTCCCCCACTGTTTTTGATCCCATTCCCCATGCCACCCTCATAAAATGTCTCTGGTATATAGCTGTTCATTATTATTATCATTTTCTCATCTGGTCCATTATATTCCTGCCATAAGTGAAACCCATCCTGTATTTTTCCTTTTCTTTCTGGCTTATTTCACTAAGCATGATCTTTTCCAGCTCCATCCATGCTGCAAAAGGCATGTGTTTATTATTATTATTATTATTATTATTTTGGTTGCTGGTAATATTTCATTGTATATATGTACCACATCTTTTTTTATCCAGTCATCTACTTTTGGGCATGTGGGCTGCTTCCATGTTTTTCCAATTGCAAATAAAGCAGCAATAAACATGGGGGTGCAGGTATCTTTTTGAATCAGTGTTTTTGTGTCTTTTGGGTAGATACCTAGGAGTGGGATTGCTGGGTCATAGGGAAGCGCCATGTTTAGCAGTTTGAGGAACCTCCAAACATTTTTCCATAGTGGTTGTACTCGTTTGCATTCCCACCAACAGTGCAGGAGAGTCCCTTTTCTCCACATCCTTGCCAACATTTGTTGTTGCTAGTTGTTTTAAGACGTGCTATTCTCACTGGGATGAGGTGGTATCTCATTGTGGTTTTAATTTGCATCTCCCTTATTACAAGTGATTTTGAATATTATTTCATATGCTTCTTGGCCATCTCTTTGGAGAAGTGTCTTTTTAGTTCTTTTGCCTTTTTTTTTTTTGATGGGGTTGTTTATTTTTGTTGAGTTTCATCAGTTTTTTGTATATCTTTGTGATCAATCCTTTATTGCCAGCTTTGTGTGAAAAATTTTTTTCCCAATCAGTGGGATGTCTGTTTGTTTTCTGTAATGTCTCTTTTGCTGTACAGAAACTCTTTGACTTGATGTAGCCCCATCTATTTATCCTTGCCTTCACTATCGTTGCATTGGGTGCTGTATCTTCAAAGATGTCGCTGAAGTGTATGTTGTGTAGTGTTTGGCTCATCTTTGCTTCCAGGTATTTTATGGTTTCCGTTCTTATGTCTAGGTCTTTAATCCACTTAGAGTTGATTTTTTTGTGTATGGTGTGAGGTAGTGATCTAGTTTTATTTTTTGCATGTACTTCCCAGTTTTCCCAGCACCATTTGCTAAACGAACTTTCTTTGTCCCATTGTATCTTCTTTGCTCCTTTGTCAAAGATTAGCTGCCCATAAACCTGTGGTTTTCTATCCAAATCCACTGGTCTGTATGTCTGTTCTCGTTCCAGTACCATGCAGTTTTGATTATTATGGCTTTGTAGTATAGCTTGAAGTTTGGGGTTATAATGCCTCCATTCTCTTTCTTCTTAGTCATGAGAGTTTTGGCTATTCTAGGTCTTTTGTTGTTCCATATGAATCTCATCAATATTTTTTCTATTTCTTTGAAGAATATCATTGAGACTTTTATTAGGATGACTTTAAATCTGTATATCATTTTTGGTAGGATGGCCGTTTTCATGATGTTATAACAAAACACCATAACTTGGCTTATAAACAACAAACATCTGTTTTTCACAATTCTGGAGGCAAAGAAGAACAAGACCACAATGTCAGAAGTTTGGTGTCTGATGAGGGTTTCTTGGTTGTAGAAACTTCTCAGTCTGCCCACATGGCAAAAGGGTGAGGGAGCTCTGTAGGGTCTCTTTATAAGGACATTAATCCCATTCATGAGGCTCTACCTTCATAACTTAATTACACCATGGTTTCTACGTCCTAATGCCCTGGCATTTGGGTTAGTACTTAGGCATATTAATTTGGGGAGTGAGATGCAAAAATCCAGACCATAAGAATACACACACACACACACATTCACACACATATTCCAGCCGTGTGCTGGAATCACATTGAGAACCCCAGGTTGGGAGAGAGAGGGAGAGAGAGAGAATTCTTGATAGGGGTGAAAGAATACAGTCAATTTTTGATAATGAGGTATTTCATTATTAAAAATCTGAACAAGTATTTAGTAAACACTATACTGCAAAGTGTTTTAAGGATTCCAAATAAGTAAAAGATAGTCTTTATTCTCAAAAACACATATCCACACTTATTCATTGGAGAAACCGAGCTTGGATTCTGTACAGTAGCACAAGACCCCCACATAACCAGATTGGAAGTCAATACCGTTGAGGGGGTTGGATAAAGTAGACGCTTCATGAGCCAGCATAGAGAGAAGAGTTCACGGGAGGGAAGTGACTTTGGCAGTGCATAAATCACAGATTCTTGCCCTGGCTGTGTACTGGAATCACGTGGAGAACTTCAAAACATATTGCTGCCTGGACCCTGCCTCACAGATCTGAATACTCTCCATGTGAACCCAATGAACCATCAACTTAGAGTTGGTCCCAAGGCTGGTGGCTGGTCCAAGAGTCTGGATTGATCCTGAATGTAAATCAACCACACCACTTAGCACAATTAGTTCTGCTGACATTCTCATCACATAACGTTCTCAATGAAAGAAGCCCAGAAGGTTGGTTTACCTGCTAGTACAAGACCCTTATCTCCTGGGAGCCACACTTTGAGTAGAGCAGGTAACGCAGGAGTGGAATTTTCATACGTTTGGAGGACTAGACAGAAGCTAGTGTTTCTGGAAAAAACACAAAGGTATAGAAATGGGAAGAAGTGAGGAATCTCAGAGCAACCTTTGTTTCTGAGTCTGACAACAAATTAGTATTTCGTCTATTGTAACATCACATGACAGATGACTAACTACCTACATAGACGAGGCTCTCACTCATGAGTAACCATTTAAGATCTTTTTAAAGGCTAGCATTTCTTTCCATTCACTCCACACTCCCCTTTTCCATGTACTTAAAGCTCCTAAATAAAAATTTCACGTTCAGTTTGCTTCTTATTCCATAGCCCTAAGTGTCAGTGCTGTGGCATGTAGCTCAGTGTGTAGCACAGAACGTGAGTTCAGTGGGCAGATTTACTATCTTTTTATTGTGGAAACTTTCACACATATCCAAAGGAAGCATTGTAAAGCAATAAGCCTCTCTATGTCAATCACCCAGCTTCAAAAGAGTCATCTGTGGCCAAGGTGAGGATCTGAGAAATGTGTTATTAGGTGATTTTTGTCCTTGTGTGAAATGTCACCAGATGCAATTACAGAAGTTTCTAGGCAGAGCCTGTCACACACCTGGGCTGTAGGGCAGGGTGGATGTGGCCTGTGGCCAACAGTAACATCACGTGACACATGACTAATTAGCAGCCTCTGCCACTCCTCTTCCTATTCCTCCATCTGCTTTCTACCCCTCACTCAATTATCCATTGTCTTTACAATTTTATTGGAAGTCAAACTTACATATATCAAAATGGCATAGTGGCAAATGACAATATTCACTGTACAGTTATGACAAATGCACAACCGGTGGAACTCATACCCTGTGATAGAGAACATTTCCATCGCATCAGAAAATGTCTCCATATCTTTTCCAGGTAACCCCTCACCAATCAGAGGCAATCATTTTTTTTTTGAAACTTCTGATTTTGCCTATTCTAAAATGTCATCCAAGAGAATGCACAGTTTTTACCCTTTTGCTTTCAGAGTTTTTTTGCTTCACATAATGTTGGTGAGGTGCATCCATTCAAAAAATTATTTTTCAAAGTAGAGAATTCTGGACTAGAAAGCAGCAAGAGCAGAGGGCTCCTGGTGAGGAACAGATTGGGCAAGCAGGTTGGCGTGGGTCTATTACAGTCCTTGGAAGCCAGGAAAAGGAACTTTTACTCTTCTTGGCGCCAAGTCAACAGGCTGCTTCATAATTGCCGAGAGGGCCTGGGACCGATTCTCTGCCACCGCATCGTGCGCCCCACGGCGCTCATGAGTCACTGCTGTGCCGCTGAATGGCAGTGCCTTCTGCCAAACGACTTGGAGCTGGTGCATGCATATCTCCCCCTGAAGAGCTGGCATGTACGCAAGTCCTGTCCCAGCCCCCTGGTAAGCTAGGAAGAACCAGCTCAGAATTTGGCTGATGCCTTTGAAGCCTGTTCACGCCTCCTTAAGGTGGTGGGGCTGGAAGGTTGATGAGATGAAAAGCTTGAGAGCCATGGACCAAGGTCACAGCCCTGATGTGGTAGCTCAGAACCTGGCTTGGTATGGCTCAGGAGAAAACTGGACCAGCTTGCAGGGTTGCCAAGGTGATTCTGATTAATGCAATGTAGCCCAAGGTCAGGAACACCACAAGCCAACCATCCAATGCAGCAGCAGTGAAGATCTGCTGACCGGGTCAGGCTCAGAAGCGTAGCAATCAGGCTCTGGAATCAGAATCCAGGTCAGACATGGAGACATACACAGTCTACCCAAACCAAATTCTCGAACATAGAAAGACTAAAGCAGAAAGGCAAGGAGAGAGTTCTCTTCCAACTGGAGCGGGGTTAGAGTAGAGAAGCCATTTTCTACCAGAGCAAAGAGTGACTAGAGGCATATGTTCCTCCCAAGGCAGCTCATTACCTTCTCTGGAGTGTCAGAAAAGTATGCATTTCGGCGCAGAAGAACTTCTAAATGCCTTATTATAATTAAGATATCAATGGATAAATAAAAAACCCTAAGTGTTGGAACCTGGGATTGTTATCTATTGCCGCATAACAAATGACCCCAAAACTTAGAGCTTCCAAACGCATTGAGGATCTCACAGTTTCTATGGATCAGGATTGGGCGGTTTGATGCGCAGGTCCAGGTCAAGTTTTCTCATCAGGTGCAATCAAACTGTGAGTGGGCGGGGGTCTCGTGGGAAGTCCCAATAAGGGAACAATCCATTTCCCAGTTCATTCACCTGGTTTTGGCAAACTCAGTTCCTTGTGATGTATTAGAGTGGGGTCTTTGGTGGGCAGCTCAGAAGCTGCCCTCAGAGGATAGCTGCAGGTGGTTTTCTCAGAGCAAATGCACCGAAAGAGTCTGAACATATAAGAAAAAGATGAAGGTCAAAGTCTTTTATAACCTAACCTCAAGACACTCCACTGCCTATGCTGGATTTTATTCATTAAAATCGAGTCGCTGGGACCATCCCATGCACACAAGAAGAAATTACACCAGGTCGTGAATTCCAGGAGGTGGGGGTCAGTCACTGGAAGCCATGTGGGAAAATGCCTGTCACATTAGGCAAAAGGCCCACAAAAAGTAGCCATATCATGAACTACAGTAGGGTAGCCAGCATGGAAGTATTTGGGGGCTCAGATGATGTGCTCACTTGTGTTCATGGGTTCATGGCAGCCAGAGCCGGACCCACGAGAGAGCTCAAGGAAGAGGGCAAGCGAGAGCAGAGTAGGAGGTATCCCACTTTGCCCAGACTCTGCATTTCAAGGTGCACATCTATACGGCAACTTGTCCTGCCATCTGGACAGTCAGATCTATCCTTGAGAACTCTCAGGATCCATCCTGAAGTGTCATTTTTTCTGCAATTCCCTTCTCATTCCCAGACTGCCGACTGACAAAATTGACTTTGACTATGCTATTGAACCATGCAGGCAAAAGAAATCACTCAGATTTTTTTTTTTTTTAAAGATAGAATAAGGCGTGAGAAATGTCTTGTCTTAATTGCAGTTTTCCCTTTTCTAGAAATGGTCTCTTCCTATTTTAGACAAGAATGTAACATCTCGTTCTAAATCACAAAGCTGTTCTGGGAGCCAAATGAAAGAATGTTTATAAATGTATTTTGAAAAGTTTTTTAAAAGGACAAATGTTGGAAATTCAAGCTACATATTGTTATTATCGTTGCTATTGCTTTAAACGTTGTTTATCCCAAAAGATTGAAGCTTTGAAGCTTTCAAGACAAGCTTTGGCTTCTGCTACTTCTGTTCCCAGCGCAGCTAATCCCAAGAGGAGGACTCCTCTCTGTGATTCGGTGACTTCATCTCACTCCAGATCTCTCCTCCCACCAGGGCATACGCGGCCCTCATGCTGATTCCATGACCTCTTAGCTTTGCCAGATCTTCCTCCTGGAACGTTTCTCACTCTCACGTCACTCCCTATAAGGCGCAGTGCTCTCCACTGCATTTGGGGTCTCCCATGGCTATCTTACTGCCTCTCCGTCTCCCCACGGCCCCTCGGCCCAGGCCCTGCCCTGCCCTGCTGAGAACCATCCTCTGAGCCCTTCTCCCCCTGAGGGTAGCAGCAGAGGCTGGAGTCTGTTCTCTGATGCCTTGCAGCCACCAGGACCTCTCCCTGCTTGCTTGGTGCTGCATTTCCGGGGTGGACCTCTCTTTCCTTCCTCTGTCTGACTTGACTTTCTCTGACTTATGACATTGAACTTACGACCTTCCTAGTCCACCCACGTTGTTCCTGGTGGCAGGTAGTCACCTCTTCTTCACAGCCGAGTAGTATTCCGCTGCCTGTCACAACACCACATCTTTTCATTCCCCTTTGGGCACTTGCTTGCTTGTTTCCAACTCTTGGTTATTGTGAGCAACGATACCATCAACACAGGGGTGCAGGAGTAGGAGAACTGGATCATATGGGGTTTCTATTTTGCATTCTTCAGGGAAGATCCATACTATTTTACCAATTTATGTTTCCACCAACAGTCCAGCAAGGGTTCCCTTTCATATCTTTGTCAATACCTGTTGCTGCTTGTCTTTTCAAACATAGTCATTCTCAGTTTGAGGTGGTATCATCTTGTGGTTTTTAAATATTGACTTGAAGTTATTATCTAAGTCATGTTTTAAATCACAGCTGCCACAGACTGAAAATACATTTAATCATTTAATCACAATTGCCCTATGATGATCCCCACTCTCTAGTTGAGGGAACTTGAGAGTTACACAGCAAATAAAGGGGAGAACCAACACCCAAATCTGAATTTCCTTCTACTCCAGCCTCCCACTCTCCCACACTAGGTTATGAGACACCATGTTCGTCAGGTCTTCTGATTCCTCACAATAGCTGGGGAAGCTCACCTCAGGGAAGAACACAAAGCATTGAATGCAACTCCTGACATAGATATATCTGCCAAAGTATATTAAATATTGATCATTTAAGTGGATTGAGAGGTTAATTTTATTTTGTAAAACATCTTCATGAAAATGTTCTAGTAACAACTCAGGTCCACATCCAATAAAAAGCCTGATCATAGGGGCCTCCCTGGTGGCACAGTGGGTTAAAGCACAGCACCAACAAGCAAAGCCACTGCAGCGTGAGTTCGATTCCCGCCCAGGAGGTGATGTACATGGCGCAGCAGACCTCCCCTGACCCGCCCGCTGGTCCCCTCAGAAGTGTACTTCGTCAGTTGGCCTGTCCTGCTCCCCACTCTGTGCCTGGTGAATCTTCTCACCACCTCTGCACCTGTGGCCTGTACCCCAGTTCTGTATGCATAAATAAATAAATCTTTAAAAAAAAAAGGCTGAACATGTTCCACTTCAGGCGGGTTAAGTCTGTCTCTGTGCCATTAAAAAAATCTACATTAAATAAAGTACCATACCATCTTAAGATTTATTCATTTACATGAAGCGACTCCAGGGTGTAACACTTTAATCTATAAAAAGTACTAACTAAAAGTAACCGTTCCCATGGCAACACACTGCCTGCATCAGTCCTCTCTAAAGGCAAAGCACTTTGGAAATGAGCATTTACAGATGCCCCAGACTCGTCGAAAT